TTTTTTTTTAATTCTAACAATTCAGCGTGAGAAAGGTCTAATGGATGATAAATTACAAAACTTATCGCCACTTAAACTGTTTTCCCTTTTTTTGAATTAGTGTCCTTTTATTGAAGAAACACAAAAACCGATATCAAGTGTACACAGATAGCGCCGGTGCATAGTATCTCCGAACCGCGTGGGGCAAGCATGATCTTGGGTCCCCGGGTAATGCTTTGTGACCCTTGCCATATTATCAACATTTGTTTTTTTTTTTTCTACCGACATTTATATGTTACAAATTAAACTATGCACAAATGAATATTAAATAAATATTAATTAAATTTTCGTGAATTTTGTCGTTATTCTGGGTTCGTATTTTTTTGTCCAGATCCGTGAATTTCTTTTGTTCATGCAAAGTCTCTTTAAAAACACGGAATATAAAATTCACTAATTTTTATCCATAATGTAGAATGTGTTAAAGTTATTCAACTTTTTAACAAGAAAAATCTCAAGTTGATGTTAAAAATTGTCTCAAAATATTGTTGATTTATTTAAGATGGAATCATCTGTTATGACATTTATTTAAGATGGAATCATCTATTATGCCATGTCTCTAATTTGTATTTTTAAGATACATTTTATTTATTTTCCATGTTTCTAGTTGAATTGTCCAACCATATTGCATATGATCCATTACTGTACATAATTAGGTTACAATAAAATTTGTATTTTATATGAATACTATCTTATTGTAGAGTGGGGGACCCTGATTCACATATTTAGTGAGCCCCGTATCATAGCTTGGGGTGTCCACGAGACATTGGCTCCGGCCCTATTCACAGACTCCAATTGTTCACTATTTTTGTCAATTCATTCTTTGAATTTTCTGCGAGTGTTCTCCGGTGGCCTTAGTCACATTTCTTTGGGTAATTTTGCAGTCACGCCTACAAGTTTCTATTCCTCACAAAACTTTCAATGACTAGAACCCGACAGATGATCTCACCTCTAACCCTAACAGCCCAAGGGGATCGCAAGCTGATTGGCTGGTTGGTTGATTTATTCAACGGGATATCAACTCCTTATGGTTCATTTAATGCCGAAGTTTAATTTTCTTGAGAGCTTTGGAGTAATAAAAATATATAATATATTTATAAAATATTTATAAAATAAAAATATAAAGCAAACCAAATGAAAACAAGGCCAAAACATACAGATTTTATACGATACTTGGCCTTCTTCTTCCCTCATTATGTATCCTAGAAATTTCAACAGTCTATTTCTGATGTTAAGTGTTCTTTTTGTTTCCCTTTTCTCTAAAACTTCTTCATTGCACAGATGTTCTCGGGTATTCTCGGCATCCTTCTGTAGAACCACATTTTTGTAGCTTCCTTCGCATGACTAAATAAAACACTTCTTCCCATGTTTAACAAATCTATATTACTGTTCCATAGCTTACAATAAGTTGAATGAAGCTGGATACCTTTCATCAGTTACAAACTAAAGTAGACGATATGACCATTATTATCATCAGATGTTAACTTCTCCAAATCATCATAGTAGGAACAAACTCTTTTTTGTTATTCTGACAATTATCTATAAAATAAATATAATATCAATTTGTTAAAACAATGCTTCTTGTTTACCTGGTACTTGAATTATTGTTTTGTTTGTTTAACGGCATATAAACTTATGGGTCACTTAATGCCGAAAATTAATGAAGTAATAACAATATATGTTATTCTACTTTCACAATTGAATACATGGTAGATGATACTCAGCATTTGTCCATATGCATGTTTGTGTGGATATAATTACTAGAAACTGTGATATGTGTGTTTTATGTTGTAGTTTTGGCGAAGTTATATTTTGAAATACAGTTTGATTTCTTAAAGAAATTGTAAGATATTATATGGATTAATGTCATGAAAGAGTTTTTACATGTTTGTTGGGTTGATTGTTTTTTAGTGGCATATCAACATCTATGGGTTGTTTGATGCTGAAATTTTAATATTTTGAACACAATTTTATGGCTTGAATTAAATATATTTTGAATGCAATTGTATGCCTTCAATTACAGATAAAAGGTATTGTTGGTCATTTTGCTATAAATACCTACTGTTGGTCATTTTGCTATAAATACCTACTGTTGGTCATTTTTATATAACAATTTATTTTTATACTTTCATACTGTTTTGTTTTTGTTTGGAAGTTCACTATTTACCCATAGTTGGGATCCTAACAGGGGCTACCACCTGGGTGAGGGTGAACCTGGAGAAAACAGCAATTAAGCAATGGTTACACGCTCCACAAAACATCCAATCTCTCGATCAGAGGCCTTGGTGCCGGATGTAGTTTATCGTCAGAGCCAGGATACCGGATACCTGAAATGAACCAAAACAAAATTAAAAGAGAAGGATAAACGTGCACCAACATCCATCTGTAGTTAGTCAAATCTGAAATAAGAAAACAATGATGGAGTATTTCGAATTCTTCACATTTGTTGTATTTGTCTATTTTATTGTAGTAGATTTTTTGCAGCCCGCATGTAAAAATCCTCACAATATTTTGTTGAAGTTATCGCTAAGATTTTTTGTTGAGATTTACAAACTCTACGTTTCGTTCACTTTTGGAAACCAATCGATGTCATTTGAAGAACACCCCTTCGCGGTTTTTATGCACCCTAGTAAAACTAACTGTACTTTGTACCCCCTTTACCTGTTTGCACTTCTCCCCAAAGTTTGTTTCCTTTCGATTGGTCAATGTATGGATATTTTGGAGGGCGTGACGGACGGACGGAAGGACTAACAGAAGTCACAGAATTTTATATATAGATAAATTTCAAGATCACATTAAGAGTGACATTGCATCAATCTTGGGATTACATTACGTGAAGTGTCATACAGTGTGACAAATTCCAGGATATTATCCAAAAAACAGCAAATTCCAAATAAATAGAAAAATCCTATCCGTTTTCCTTGATTTCCAAGATTTCCAGGATCAGTGGATCCTTCTAAATCCAGTATACAGGATTCGTAATGTTATGTTATCTTCTGCAGAGTTCGGGTGGTGTAATAGATAGTGGCTCGGAATGAGAAATTGGAGAGACGAGTTCGAATTCAAGTCAACTTTGTTGCATTCACTTACCCACACATAACCTTGGGAAAGGTATGAATCTCCTCCCCATACAGCTATGGGTTAAATAGCAGGTCTTTTATCTGGAAAGTTCATAGTTATTCTCAAAAATTGTTAATGCAATACTTACTTGCAGAAAGAAAAAACACTCCAAGGGTTGAGAAGCCGTAAAAAATAAAGCAAAACTGCGTAGTTCTCCATCAGATGCAAGCGACCATCATCAATGATTGTGCAGTTCTCATAAAAATACGGAAGCCTATTACTCCTTTTCGCATTGACTGTGTAGTGGACATTCATTTTACAACAGAGCCTCTCATTGAAACACCCGCTTCTCGTACGGTTACCGAAGATAAGCAATGTCGAGCCTGTTCCGTACCTTGTGGACCCGCTTAGGAATGCCAGCTTCTGTAAGCTTGGATAGGCGGAGGGGGTAATGAATAAGTTTCGAAATTGGAAATCAGAGAGTAGAGTTCCAATTCCAGTCGGGTTCATTATATTCACATACGCAACAATACCCTAGGGAGGGGTATGAATCCACCTCTTCTCCCGCGACTTGTGGGTTAATTAGTAGGACTTGTATTAGTAAATCGTTATTATCTCCAAAAATATTCTTATAATCTAAAAATATTTTCTGGCTTTAAATAACCTACAAAAATTTGATAAACTGTAAAAAAATAAATCATTCAATTAATCAGCTACCCATGTTTGTTGCAGCTGCGCAATAGATAGATAGATAGATAGATAGATAGGGGTAGATAGGGGTAGATGCATATTCACTAACCGAAAACCTAGTGTTATTGTTGACTAGAAAATGTTAATACAGTCATCATCATCATCATCATAATAATAATAATATCCGTGTTTTTTGTCGAGGCAGGACATTGATTAATCTCGTACAAATGCATCAACCTATGAATCTATTTCTTTTCCGCCAGCTATAGATTAATTAGTAGAACTTCTATCAGTAAATCTTTATTATCTCCAAAAATATTCTTACAATCTGAAAATATTTTCTGGCTTGAAATATCCTACAATAAGTGGATAAGCCGTAAAAAACTGATCAATAAATTAAAACGACTGCTTCATTAGTATTCATGGACAATATAAGGGCTCTCAGCATTTCTTGTCGCTTATTTCTACTAAAATAAGGATAATGAATTACAATTTTAATTTCCATGAAAATGTTGCAATACGAGCGGCGTTGTCTGTACAAGATAACAGCTGAACCAATCTCTAAATGAGGGGGTAGCATTCCGTCAAAAAAAAACGTAAATATTTGTTCGCACAGTTGCCCGTCGAAAACGAACTTCTGCGCGCGGTATCGCCTGGTTGATTGCCCGCCGCTGCGCACGAACGCTTCTTGTAACGTTTTCAAAAGATCGGCTTATTTGACGTCGTCCATTATTTCCTTTTGTAATCCTCACCCACAAAGCCAATTTTGAAGAACTTCTTTCGAACACCCACGTTCAAAGGAAATTCTTTAAATACTGAGGGTCTGAAAATGTCTATATCTTCCCTGTCGAACCATTGTGGGCAACTGGATGATTTCCATCTATGCCGCGATCTTTCTCGATTTTTCGAGAAACAATCATGTTGCCATTTATTTAATGATTTGTTGATTGATTTTTTACGGCTTGTTAACCTTTTGTAGGATATTTAAAGCCAGAAAATATTTTTAGATTGTAAGATTTTTTTTTGCCGGGAGAGATAATAATGATTTACTAGTGTTACTAATTAACCCATAGCTGGGTGAGAAAACGTGTATTCAGGCCTTTCCCAACTGTATTTGCGTATAAATGAATATAACGGACCCAACGGGAACTGGAACACGGTTCTCCAATTAACAATTCCGTGTCATTATTCATTACACCACCCGAACATCCAAGCTTACCGCACCTGGTATTCCCAAGCGGTCACCCATCTAGATACTGATCAGACTCGACGTAGCTTAACTTCAGTAATCGTATAGGAACCCGTGTTTCAACGTGATATCACCGTAAGCCATGTTGCCATTTCAACTAACTGTAAATAAAGTATAAAGTAATACTTTGAAACGCCATGTGTATACTAAGCTTAGATTAGTCAGGTAGAAGATTGCTTGATGACAGTAAGATTATGTTGCGTCGATCTTCCAAGAAAAATCAATGCATGAAATCCTGTCTTTTTGACGCCGTTAAAAAATAATACATTTCCATCTGCCATGAAACAAACAAACCTTGTCATTATATCTTTATCGTATTCTACTTCTTTTGTTTCATTTATACATTCATTCACATTTTTTATTTTCACTTTACAGAGCCGTATTCGCGCCCGCTTGCATGTCCCACATCATGCTGATGAAAAGGTATGAAGTCTTATTTTAATATTTTTCTGTTAAAGCTGAAAGAAAACTTAGGAATTTCTAAAATATCTTATAATCTACCACCAAATATCAGAATATTTATTTAGGCAACAATCCTTCTTTGATAAATGCTTGACTAAATATTAGAAAGAACAGATTTCAAAAAATATTTAACTTTTTCTGTTTCCGTACAAATAAGCATGGAGCAGTAGTTAGTGTATATAAGAACTACTCATAAATTTTTCATTGAATAATTTTGAAAGAACAGAGTTTTGGGATAAAAATTATTTTAGTGTTATTCTTCGTTCTCAGTATAATTCATATTTAAAATGTATTTCTGCAGTAAATCTTCGGAAGTGCATTTCTATAGTAAATCATTTATAGTTTAATTCTATGTTATAATGATGTGATTTCTGTTTGTATATGCGCTTGTTGTTTTAACACAGCAAAAACGACACATCGTAGCTAGATTTTCATAAAGCAATACCGTTAAAATGCTCTCATTTGAAATCATATTTCCATTGAAATACGGGGTCGGGATGAACAGATTAATAATTACAGCATAATATAATAAGTTCATTTAAAAATATTTTAATTTAGTATTTTTTTATATAAATGATTTTCTTATAAAATAAATATATTATTTCATGGGTATCGTTATTTTTGTCAAAATGAATATTCAAATTACAAAAAAAAAAAAAAAAGAAAAAAAGAAAAAAAATAACTTGTAAACACATATTTTTTTTTAATAAAGTGCAAATAAAGATAACTTTAAATTTTAAATGTAGTTGGAGTTTGACTGTTTGCAGTCTAGTCATTCATTATTTATTTAGTTACTTATTTGCAATTAATTACATTATAAATTCTATAAATCGGAAATTAATTTCTAACAAGCTTTATATATTTGTAATAATTACTCTCATTATTAATTTTATTGAATTCACTATCCTCTCAGGACGTCGAAGATCATGACTCTCCACAGAATCCTTTTGTTTATTAACTGCGTATAGTCATGGCCTTTGTGGGATAGCGTGGAGTGGTTTCTCGTTGGCTTCTCTACGGTTTTGACATCATGGCTGGGTATCTTGAATTTTTTTAAAAGTTTTTTTTGAGGCAGCCAAGGTGACTTGAGAGTCACATTTAGATACCTGGGAACGCTTTTAAATCGGAGACCGTCTTAGCAGACTTGGTTACTCGACTAGAAGCTATTTCTAGCTGAACACTAGCTGCAATTTATCCAAACCTATCCTCACACCACACACATTTGGCTGGTATACCCTTATCAGAATGGGTGCCAAATTGTGTATATTAGGCTTCGTATATTTGCATCCCAGTGTCACTTTGGTGGCGTGTTGCTCACAAACTCAATAATAATAATAATAATAATAATAAAATTAAACCATATAATAATTTATCAATGTGTATTTATTTATATATTTCCAGTCCCATCAGTAGTGGGAAATGAGATAAATACATTTAAGTTAGTAAATTTATGAGTGATTACTTTCCTTAGTCGTTTTTATAATCTAGACAAATAAAATATTTATCTGCATTTAGACAAAATTAGTTCCCTAGCAAAATAAACTGTTTAATTAAACAGCTCCTTTACTCCTACATTTCTTAGATTGCAGTCTTATTTGGCTAAGGCTTTTATGTGAGGCACTCAGTTACTTTGTCTATTAAGTGATCATCTTGTTTCAATTTGGACTTGAAATAGGCTTTTTCGTCGACTCTTATTGTGTTGCTCATCTTTTTCTTCCGAGAGATATTTCCATTTCACTTAAGATGGGTGAGCTAGAGTAAATATTCCGTTCTGTACCACAGATTTGCTTGTCAGTTGCCTTACCATAATCAGTTGGGCATGTTCCCTTAGGGGCTGAGGCATTGCACATTTCTGTTCATTAACGTTAGTCCACTGGGATCATCATGGCTGGGTATCAAGAGTATTGTTTTAAGTTTGTTTTTATTATTTTTTTAGTTTGAAGAATGGATCAGCCAAGGCAACTTGTCACCTCTAAGTTCTTTGGAAACCGTGTGAGCCGACAGGTTAACCCTCTGTTTTTTGTTGTTTTTACTAATGTTAACTATGTTCAAGGCTCGAGATCCACTCGAAGTGGTTACTGAAGGAGTTTGTTGTATGAACGCAAAGGTTAAGGAGCGCAGTTGATGAGGATTAGTGATAGAGATAACGGTTAACCCGAGACTTGAATAGGTTAACATTGTAACGATCGGGAAGCATCCTCCTAGGAGTCGGTTTCACAAAGTAAGAATTAAGAAGCACAGGTTATAAGGTTATTTGGCAAAGATATCGGTTATCCCTAGATTTGAACAGGTTAAGATTGTAATGATTGAGAAGCATCCTTCTAGGAGTCGGTTCCACAAAGTAAAAGGTAAGAAGCACAGTTTATGAGGATATGTGGGGAAGAGAATGGTTAAACCTAGACTTGAACAAGTTAAGATGTAGTGGCGGGAAGCATTTTCTTGGGAATTGGTTCCATAAAGTAGTAGTTCGTGGTAAGAAGCTGTCCGGGTAGAACTTACTTTTCACTAAGGGAATCTGGGTGGTTTGCTACAGTGTACGTGGCATGGCGCGTCTTAGTTGTGAAGGTCTGAACTGGTGGAACTAAAGAATGTAGCTCATCAGAACATTTTACATGGAAAAAGCGATAGATTAGCAAGAGGCTTGCAACATTTTGTCTATGGGAATGGGATTGTAGGGTGGAAAATAATTAATCACCCACAAGGCCGCGTAGACGCTATCAAAAGTGAAGACTGGGCAGCTCTAGCCCAGATATGACAGCAGTACCCCCTTTTCGGCCTGGTCTGGCTCTTGTAAAGAGAGAGGATGAGAAGAGTCAGGTACTTACTAGAGCGGTACAGATAACTGAACATTTTCCAGTATCATTAGCGATGGATTGTATCAAGTCCCACTCGAGGTTTGAATTGAGCTTAAGTCTCTATAGGCGTTCAAGGCTAGAACCTTTTCTTGCGATTTGATTTCCGTGGTATTGTATGTTACCAGCTAGATTTCCTCCATTGTACTGTTCGAGCTCGGTCAGAGGAGAGATCACCTACCAGGTTCTGGTCAACTCCATGTTTGGACATGCACACATATATCTTTGTATCACCTGTATATTCACAAGAAGTCGGAGTAAATTCTTGGGCAGATCATTAATATAAAGAAGAAAGTTGAACCAAGAAGCGAGCCTTGGGTGAAACCTGCATTGATCTCATGGGCTTCTTCGGTGAACTGGCAATTAGCTTCATGGATATCCCCGTTAGGAAGGATAATTGAGAAAACTCTTCCAGTCATTCCATAGCTGGATATTTTGTGTAGCAAGCTTTTATGCGATATTTCGAATGCGATCGTCCTTGTGATGTATTTATTATCTAATGCTCCACTGATATCAGCAGTGGACGAAACCGATTGCAATCCGTATTGTTTGTGTCTCAAGAGGTTGTTCCTAAGATGAACCTTCTTGTTGATTACAGCCTCAAAGTGTTTGCTGATGACACCAAGGAGGCTGATGTGCCGATATTGAGACGGAGACGAGTGCTAACCCGCATTATTAAAAACAGGGCATACACTTGACACCTTTCATAGAATTGAGAAGGATTTCTCCTGAAATTATTTCTTAACTGGGTCCCAGCTGCAAGGTTATACACTGCTTTATCAAAACCTGACACCATGTCGTGCACATTTGGCTGCGATGCATGTGCCTGGTATACCCTTATCAGATTGGGTGTCATCATGGCTATATTTGCATCCCAGTGTCACTTTCTTGGTGGGTTGCTCATTCATTCAATAATAATAATAAGAAGAAGAAGAAGAAGAAGAAGAAGAAATAAACAAACACTTGAGGATAATTACTTATGCAAACTACTAACTTCCCGCCCTGGAGAGATAAACAGATTGATGGGAGAGTTCCAAAGAATTTCTACTAAATTGTTTGATTATTTCCTCTTAATAACTAATCAACTAAAAGAAAATTTCAAAATGATGATGATCCTCATCCTATAACTCAAGTTTCAGTTGCATTCCTTTCACGCTGGCTACATTTCATTCGTTTTGGCGCGTTGATTACCAGCATAACCGTTTTTCTCATGTCAAGCGACGTTTGTACAAAGACATATAATTTTTGGTAGATTTTTTTTTATACTTGTTCTTATAATTTTTAAAGATAACTTGAAAAAGACATACCGTCGAAATATTGTTGAAACATTTCTAAAAACTATTTTTTCTTTTCTTTTTTTTTTTCTTAAATCAAGCTCTTCTCTTTAAGCGTTGAAAAGAGAGAGTTATGTCAATAGTTTTGTTTGTTTAATAATAATAATAATAATAATAATCGTAATAATCGTAATAATAATAATAATAATAATAATAATAATAATAATAATAATAAAGACCACAAGAACAGAATCTGTTTTCTCATTGACATGGCGGTCCCTGTAGAGTGTACTGTATCATTTCAAAAAACTATCAAAATACAAGGATCTTGAAATAGAAACATCAAAAATGTGACACATGAGGACATCAGTAATTCCAGTTGTAGTTGGAGCCCTCGAATTGATTGGAAAAAGCTCCGATAGAAACAATGAAGGGATTCATCGTAGACCATGCCTTAAAGAAATACAAAAAAATTTACTCACAAGTACAGTTCACACATTATGAAGAGATTAGTCTATGTAAAATACGTGTGATCTTTGGGAGATTTTTGGGGGCTTACAAAAATCATCAGTGGAAAATGCCAGGAAGCCATTTCTGAACTTGGGTCACTGGTTGGGACCCGGAAGGAAATACGTATACAACAGAAATCAAAGGAAATAATAATAATAATAATAATAATAATAATAATAATAATAATAATACTTACGAGAAGAGCGCGAGTTAAGAAAACAAAAAAGAAAAACAAAAGAAAAACGTGTTAATGTTCAACGATATTTCAACACTATACTTGTTTTTTTCATGTTACATTTAAAAAAACATTTTTCAAGTGTAAAAATTTATAAATTTAAATAATAATAATAATAATAATAATAATAATAATAATAATAATAATAGATATCATTTTGTTGATAATGCTGTGAAGACAGAAGAGCAGCATCACATGAAAAGAGAAAAAATAAACAAAAATAATTTAAATTCCTCCCTCTACACACACAAAAAAGATAAATTTTTAGCCTTTCAGCAATTCGCCGCCGCCATTTTATCTTCACCTTCCCGCCAAAACACTTCAAAGTGTTGTATCCTTCCTCAAGTTTCTTTCATATTGCGTTGTTCAAAAGCTGATCTTATTTCGCGAAATATGTTGGCAACAAGTTTCTGCCACACCCGAAGCCACTCGATCCTTACCAATTTCTTCTCTGAAATCTCAAGATGTGTTATTTACTACTTTAAACTAAAAGTAGTAAGGTTGTAGACCTTCCTGGGGGAGGGTAAATAATATAATGTAGCAATGGTTACCCCATTCTTCAGTAAGGGCGTGGCTGCAAAAAATACAATGTTTATGGGCTGCGCATTATCGCAAGAGTCTTCAAACACAGAGCTGCGCCGCCAACTTACAAAACGTTCTACGAAAAACATATACGACTGAAAACTGCGTGTACCACATTGCACACATCTACAATAAACAACACAAGGGCAAGACTATAGAATCCTTCGATAGGACTTGTAGAATAATGAAAGATAATGCAGATTTTATATAGAAGATAACGTGATATCAATGTTTCTTGAAAAAAATTCATTCTAAATGAAAAAGAATCTGGCTGCAAAATATGGTAAAGTTCTAAAAAGAAAATCCAGTAAGTAAGCCAAGCGTACAAATAAATTCTATACGCGAGCTAACAAATTATTCTACAAAGCTAAACATAAAAATATAAAGTCGCATAATATACACACTCACACACACACTACGTATGAAAATGGCCAAATGTATAGCCGAAAGCGCTCGGACAAAAGGAATAATTGGACAGTTTTTATATAATTTATCATCCGGAAAAAAAAAAGATTACATAAGAAATTGTATTAAAAACTAAATCAAAGCACCTTGTCTGTCGTATTCTTTGAAATGTGCATGAAAGAAGGATTGCTGCGTAGATAAAAAAAAAAAACTTGAAGAAGGACGTGAACGGTCATGGCCCTCCAGAACTTCCTGTCCTTTGTAGTTCTGAATAAGATTTGTTTTTTTTTGTTTTTTTTTTTGCCATCCCTCCTAATTCCTGTTCTACCAACCATTTGCACAAGCTCGTTAGCTTGATAATTAGTTTCTTTCCTCTGTTTATCTTGATTTCAGTATGTTGCGTAAGTGTTCAATTCTCCACGCCCTATTTCCTCTTTATGTGTACTAGAAATTTCAATTGTCTCTTTCTGATTGTAAGTATAAGCATTCTTTTTGTTTCCGTTTTACTTTAAACTACCTAACTGATCATATAATCCTCAGCCTCCTCCTCCTCCTCCTCCTGTAGAACCACATTTCTGTTGCCTCAAGTCGATTCTTCATCTGTAAGGTGACTTCCAGAATTCACAGCCATAGAAGAGAACTGACATTACGTAACACTTCAGTACTTTCTCGTTTGTTATGAAATGTTCTTGTTTCTTAATACTGTGCTTAGCTTTTGGAAAGCATATTTCGCTATCCCAACGCACCTTCAGATTCCGGCGTCACATTTTTCGTCTTCTGTTAAGACACTTCCTAGATATTTAAATTTTCGTACTTGCTTGATTCTGTCGTCTCCAATTTGTAGTTCACATCTTGAGCTGTGTCCCTTTTGCTGACAACCATTCACGCTCTCTGTCTTCTTACAATTCATATTTAGTCCTTTCTTTTCATTTCCTTTTATTTATTTTGTTTTCAATTTCTTTTTTCTACACCATATTGATGTAAATTTAGCCTGGTCAATACCTAGATGAGTGACCACTTGGGAATAACAGAGGCTGTAAATTTGGGTGTGTGGGTGGTGTAATACGTAATGGCTCTGAATTGGTAATTGGAGATACGAGTTCCAATTCCAGTTGTGTTCGTTATAGTCCCTTTCGCGCAAATACCTTTGGGAAAGGCATGAATCCACCTCTTCTCTTCAACTAAATTAAGATTTGTATCACTAAATCATTTACAATCTAAAAATATTTTATGGCTTTAAATAAACTGCAAAGAGTTGATAAGCTGTAAAAACCGAATCAATCAACATAAATTTAGTTATTATCAAAATATAAGAAAGTCCGATTATGTACGATTGACCAAGTGTAGGGTGATGCGTGGTGAAGTTTTTATAACGTTATCATTCCGACGAGGAACCAGTGTTCGAATCTCAACATGTGCCAATTTGATTACATCTGCCAGGGGAGACGAGACCAGTGTTCGGCACCACTGATAAATCCCTACAAACAATACCATGAATTGAGTAGAGGTAACTGTTTGGAAGCTGTCAATAGTTGTGTTAGCACGAAGTCACAAGTCATCGTGACCGAGAGTGAGCGCACTAGACCTTTTCAACTAATGATCATGCTAGATTGTGTGCTCATTCCAAGAAACTGTAACTAAGGTCGATTCAGCATAGTTACCGTATAAACCACAGGTTGGCTCTCTGAAACACAGTTATACCTGAGCAGGCAGCTGCAACAGGGATCAGACATCTACACTCGCTGACGAGCGAACTCTGGGATCCTAAGCATAAATCATTAATATACACATTAATCCAAGATGAAAAGAGAAATGATTTTCAGCCAGAATAAATCTCCTTTTTTTCCGAATGGCCAATCTTAGAGACATCAAGTTTTCATGAGAACCATTTCACAGCATCTGGACGCTCACACCCCCTCTCTGCCAACGCTTCAATTTTCTACCCGTTCCGGGCAGATGTTCGAGGAGAAGGAAGGAGTGTTGACATCTACGCCCGTAACTTCGGACTTGGCTCCTTGGTGTGAAATGGTTGCTGACTAACCTATGATGTGGACTTCCGGCCAGATGTTCTACAAAGCCCGATCTTCTTTCATCAAAGACGACACAGTCTATTAAACATACGTTGTCTTGTGTATAAAGGAAAAATGCAGTTAACCCCATGACCAGTAGGGCAGGTCGATTTTGGAACCGAAGTATTGCACTCAATTTGGGGTTTCACATGATAGATAACGACACAAAATATTTTTCCAAATCCTTACTGTTTACGTATAGTACGCCATGGTTCAAATTCATAATCTTACCGTTGGAATTTAATTCCGGTGATTAGTGAAGATTAATAATTTACTGAAGCTTTATAAATTGTATATGGACAAGATTCATGGCACAAGCACATTATTACTAAATCATTGTGCCATCAAATAAGACTTTCATTCAAGGAAATTATACTGAATAATTTAGCTGTATTATGATGTAATATGTTATACAGTGCAGTAGTTTTAGGGTGATTTTCAATAAACAATATAAATTTGAAACATTTTGTTATATAATATATGCCCGGCAGTAGGATGGTATTATATACATATTTATCTATTTCTGTTTTTATTAATTATGATCTAGCAAATGATCTAACAAATCTTAGTCATTGAGTCGCCTCTTTTGTAATCTTTTACAATATTTTTACACTGTTTTTACTTATCGAATACAGTAAAAAAAATGCATATTTTGCTTGTGGTGATTCATTAGAATTCTGGTTTGAATATATTTTCCATTCAATGCATCTAATACAAAAGGAATCAACTTTATTTGGATTTATTCTTGAAATAATAAAATTTTGAAGTTAGTCTGTAAGCAAAAAACGGCGGAAACTAGGTATTTCTGTACATTTTCAGACGATCTTTAAAACTAAATTCTCAAAAATTGGTGACTTGGTCAATCTAACTTTTTGTGTCAGTATTTATTACATCAAATCCCAGTTTCCACAGCGAGTGCAATATTTATTTTCTAAAAAAAAGTAAAAAATCAACTTGCCTTATGACCAAGGTTTCAATATTAGAGTACAAGTAATGAACTGGGCTACTACTGAATGACTAATGCTACTAAATTTTAAAATTCGCTACTTGCGACTTTATTGACTACTTTTTACAAGGAACCTGGCTTCTTTTTACGTGCGGTCTCTCTCTAGGGTATCGGTGTTGATGGACCTCTACAGCTCCCTATCTCTTATAGCGCATTAAGCAACATTTTATTCTTTACCACATTTTGTCTCCGGTCTTCACTCATGAGGTAGATTATTCGCTGCATCCTTCAGCCTTCTTCCTTCCACCTTCGATCACCGAAGTTAAGCAACGTCGACCCCGGTCACTAGTTAGATGGGAGACCGTTTAGAATTGGATTTGATCTGTTTGTTTAACGGCATATCAACTCATTTCATGCCGAAATGACATAAAAACTGACACGTGCCTATAAAGTATTTGCTATATAATTCTGCTATTATTTACAAGTCTAATATCGATAAAGATCATCCGATTCGGCCATGTCAACATTTTAGGCCTCGTATTGAAGCGGTCATCGATACTGACGTCGGATTAATTAAGTAGGCGCATCAAGAAGAGTCTTAAGGTTACTCATGCTAATTTTCTCTCAAATTAAGCTCTTCTTTCATGACGTATGCGTCTTTTACTAAATTCATGCAAATATCCTCAAAGAACTTAGAAAACCGGTATAGGTCATTATATAAGATTTACAAAAAAACAAAAGACACACACACACACACACAAAGATGCTTTCATTCTACACTATTTGCATTATTTGGACTATTGTCCTCATCTTTGTCGCCATGTTTATCACAACGTTTCGGCCTTTGTACGCTCCGGCCTTCTTCAAGTGGTTGGAATGTCGAACTGAATCCTTTATTTCGCTCACTGGGGTAGACTGTTCTAGTTCCACGTGCCATGTCTAATGGATGTCGTTGTGATAAACGTTGTGATAAACATGGCGACAATGATGAAGACAATAGTCTGAATAATGTAAATAGTGTACAGAATATCTCATCCCAGAAATATAGACAGATACTTTCATTCTACTTTAATAATTTTAACTTCATGTTAATTTTCTGTTTTAGGGATTGGAACCTCGTGACTATCGGAAAAGTGAGTCTTCCGCATTCTATTTATTGCTGGGAGAGCAGTTCTAGTCGGAGACGGAACTACCGTTGTCGAGGGTCAGCGGACGGCGGAAGAGCCGGGAGGGGCGGAGGAAACCAGCAGAATCGAGGAACAACCCTGAGGCCGTCAGTAAGGTAAGTCAAAAAGAAAGGAATAATCTGTGACATCACGAGTAGGATTTATAAGCTGCGATATCCACGGGCAGCATACCTTAAACTAATATATCAATTCTTTCATTCCCTGTAATCATTGCAGTGAATGAAAGTTTTAATATATTTCTTTATGCTAAAAGGATAAATATAGAAATTTAACACAGCAAGTATGAAAAGCATATATAGAAATTCATTGGAAATGACGCTTACTACTTTCTGAAATTCTTAAAGCATAATATGGCAAAAGTGCAACTTTCCATCCTCCATCTTTATGGCATTCATTTGTGGATAAAACGTCAACGTTCAACAAATTTTGACTTATAACTCTTCGATGCAATGTTTCAATCTAGAACACACCAGAAATCGACACCAAAAAAAACACAAGTGTCAAATTGCGGTCATTTTATAATATTAACAATGAAAATCGAACACAAATTTTTGCAATGATCTGATAAAACACGTGCAAGAAATTTCTACGGATGTGTGACATTCCATGACCCATAGCATTGCCGACTATCTATCTATGGATACAATAATATGTAAAATTTCAGATATAACGAAAAATATATCTCTAAAAGGACAATATGAATAAAGACAAAAAAAAAAAAAAAAAAAACTTATATTTTATTTTACAACATGTATTAATAAACAAAAATTTAAAAGGGTGGTTTTTCAAAAATTTTAAATTTAAGAAATTCGTCTGGTTAACTATGCCACCTTTTATTAAAATAAAAAATTACTTAGACGGAAAATTTTCAAGAGCGCCCTGGATTTTTTCAAATACCTCCGTTCCTGAAAGAATTAACTCTTTCCAAAGCCAACATACAGGACTATAAAAATTTTAAAAAAGAAAAAAATTAAAAAAGAAAAAAATGTTAAAAGGAAACAAAAATAGAACAGTTAAATTCATAAACTTTTATTTAAAATATATAATACATAAATTAATCCTAAACTAAAATAATGTAAATATTAATTACATTATATAAACAAATTCAACAACATCATTTACTCACTTTTGTTTATTAGATATTAAATTACGTCACTTAAAATCCGCCATAATTTACCGAGACTTTTAAGTTACCCTGATGAATATTTATGAGCGTTTCCTAAGTTTAAGGATTTTGAAACAACCAACATTTTTAGTTTTGTTTATAAATATTGGTTGCAAAATAAAATCTTTACATTTGTCTTGATAAAATCCATCAGAGGACGAAACGCGTCGGGTCAAATAAGTTTTCCTTTTCTCTTTATTCAAAGAATATGTATTTTATTACATCGGAAAAGGAAGGCGTATATTCTGGCATAGTGTCGCGTATTCTATCCTATTTTATACCCCAGATATAGAATAACCTATCCTACAATAATCCCGGGTATATTTGGGGCTGGGGGTGGACTATGGACGGTTACGCCGGGAATTCACGGGCCAAATTCTTTTCCTTTACAGCGCTGCATGTGTAGACGTTCCTCTGAGAGATTTGTGCATGCCGTAACATTTTATTAGCAAGATTATCTTTGTTTATAATGCTTACTGTTGTTTGGCACAAATCCACAATTCTGGATCAACTAGTTAGGATCGAACTCACTATTCAATAATAATAATATGCTCAACTAGATTAAATTGCTAACCCCACGCCGAAATATCGTTGTAAAATTAATGCAACTCGATAAGTTTAACCGGTTTTGTGGTCGTTTATTTAATTTCCAACATATAATTTATTAGATTTGTTAGTTTTTCAATATAGTCTATTAAAAATGTTAATAAGTAATTACTTCCCTTTACTCTCAAGCTGTGATTTAAATGCTAGGGTCGTTAACATTTCCAGGGAAGTAAATGACTTCATTTGAATAAACAATTTCATTCTAAAACGCCCCAAAATCAGTAGAGAAAATTAAAACTTATCAATTATTTCGATTATTCAATTTTTCTCAAGTATTGCTTGCTAATTTCCTCATTCTGCCTTTTTATGTACCTTGTTCCTTCAGGACGTAGGCGATCATGACTCTCTACAACTTCCTACGCTTTTTAGCTCTTAGTACTGACTATCTTATTTATTAGCTTGTTTATTTACACTATTATATTGTTTACTGGAATAGTTAGCAAAACGTCGGCTAATTGTCAATCGCTTCGTACTTCATAAAATGATAAATAATAAGGATTTCATTTAATAATTTAGTAAATGCTTATAAATTTATGAATAAAATATTGTTTTCATATTTATTTCTTTATAAAATGGTAAACGTTAATTTATTGGATTGCATTAGTTTTAATACGCTTGCCTTAGTTTTTAGAATGTTTAAATATAAAATTATTCTTGTAAATAAACAATCTAATCAATAGTGTTTAATATTTTTGTTGCAAATTCTCAAGAACAAAGAAAATGTATAAATTCACTTTCACTATAATCTTGGGCTTTATTATAATTTTAAATTTTGCTTTTTAAAACAATAAACATTGCTGACTGAAGGTAGTTAAAATAATAGCGGTGTCAAAGGAAAAATCGTCCTTTTGACACATCGTTTTTTGCGGGGACGAAGGTTAAATATTGCCTATTTTTTTTCTCAGAACTTACTTACCTAATTATAGGGTGCGTCTTACCACGCGTATTGCATTACCATACGATAAATACGGTTGATATTGCAAAGATTTTAATCGGTTTATTTTAAGCTTAGCAGAAAATTGCTACTTTGAAATGGGTTCGATCCTCAACTTTTCCCCATCTCATAGACTTGCTTCGTGAATGTTTACACCGAAAGACTTTTCTTTTACATGGCAATATATATATATATATATATATATATATATATATATATATTTCATTTTTTTTCAAAATGACGTCATTTAGGAGTAATTTTGGTGATTACAATCATGTGATATAGGGTATTCGTTTTTTTTTGTTTTTTTAAATTTTTTTTAAGTGTTTGTCGTGTGATTTCAGTGTTTCGACTCCAGACGAAGCCTCATCAGACAATCCGCTGTCGGATGCCCCCAAAACAAAACGCAACAGGCGAAAGAAAAATAAGAAGAAGCGAAGAAACAAGAAAAGAAGGAGAAATAAAGGTAATTATTTTATTTCCAGTATGAGCAAAAATAAATAAATAATAATAATAACAATAATAAAAGTTAAGATCATCTGGATTTTTAGCACTCTTGTGGCTACAAAACCAGACATCACATCACATAAAATCATAGTAAAAATCAAAGTAAAAGAAATATCCAAGTTCAAGAAATACGTCGACCTCTAGATTGAAAATGGCCAGAATAGTTATTTACCTCGTTTTCTCCATTGAGACGTGATGTGACACAAGGTCGGGACTATTGTGGCGAACCCGAGCGCGTACCCTCGGGCCAAGAACAAAAATACCCCGAGTCTTCGCAACCGTCGGTTGCGCTGGCCTCGGTGGCGAGCACCGATACCTCTCTCTGGTGCCATGTGAGGGAGCAGCTTCGGACAGCTGTTCCCCAGTGTTGGGCACCTCACAGTGTAATTTTCGTCAGTTGAGCCTCTGTCCTTTGACAGAGCCCCACTTTGCCCGAAGACAGAAACGCAACCGAGTGACGCCTTAACCGGCACGTGCCAAGTAAATATGTTGAAATGTCAGAATATGGGGCATACAGGTCAATATTGTCCAAGTTATCATTGTGGCACTGGGGATCTACACCACTGAACTTAGTCCTACATTGAGAAAATCGGAATAAAGCTTACTATCCCGTTTCTTCAGAAGTTTACTTTTGTTGGCACTGTAAATATTCAACGAAGGGTGCTGTCTGACTGTTTGTCTGTTTGACGACGTACGAATTGATGGAGAACATTTATAATAAAAATGGGAACCTTGTGATAGATGATGATAATATCCATTCATCATCTACATCTGTATACAAAGGAGTTCGTCAGGTTGCTAGTGCATTTCCCCATAGCTGGAGGCGGTGTAGGGGGTTAAGATAGAATCATACCCACGGGTATTTGCACGTAAGTGAATGTAACGAACTCGACTGGAATTTCGAACTCGGTTCTTTAATTTCTCATTCTGAGCCGCTCTCCATTACACCAACTGCACATCCCATCGTACATTACATGGTACTCATGTCGGTACTGACCAGGCTCAACGTTGTTAAACATATATATTGAGTTTTAGCTGTATACGAAGAAGAGAATTATTGGTCATAGTGTATGTCGAAATTGTCCAAATGATTATTCGTTCTGAGCGCTTTCGGTTAATCTCTAAGCCATTTTCAAGGATTTGGTTTGCGGTATTGCATTTGTTATGGAAATTGCTGATATATAGGCAGTTTTTAATTTCTGTACACAGCCAGTATATTATGACCATGGTTCTAGTTGATGTCTTTAGGCTTCCATTACTTTTTAACATTTTCTACAGTTAGACGTGTGTATTTGTGTTTTCGAAATTATGCGCATAGTCACAAAAGAACAGGAAAAATCTAACAGATTAACCGAAAGGGCTCTGGACGAGAACTCATTTGGACCATTTCTCTATACTTCTTCTGTGTGCCTTGTCCTCTAAAGGACTTGGGCGATCATGATTCTCCACAATTTTCTGTCCTTTGCAGCTCTTAGTAAAATATGTTTGCACAGACAGACACAGACACCTTTCAAGAGTTATCATCCAAAAAGCTGTCTGAAAACCACCCCCTATGCCCTAGCACATAGGATTTGCACTATAGCAGCTGACAAACACCTCCCAAATACCGAATAATTACATAAATCTCTCAAAAAACAATGCTAACCCACACCACTAAAAGAAAGATTTTGAACTAGCAGAAAATATAACTTTGGATCAACTACGAAACCCAAAGAAACTCAACGGCGAACAAATTCTAGCACACGTCTCAACATACAAGAACAATCCAGTACTATTTACAGAAATTACAAGAGAACTACTTATCAAAAATGATACACTGAAAGATATACTAAAAACAACCAAAATAATTAAAAGTAAACACCAATCGAAAAACCTAAAGCACATATTAATCTCATCCAAATTTAGTCAACATACACTACAGGGTGTCACAAGATGCAACAAGAAAAGATGTGGAGTTTGCGATATCATTATAAAAGGAAACTCTTACACTTTTGAAAACTCCACAGCAACATTCACAATAAAGAAAAACTTAAATTCCAACTCTAAAAATGCAACAAGTCCTATATAGGTATTACCCAAGCACTAAATAACAGAGTTTTCCCTTCACATTCCCGAGTTTTCCCGTATATATGCACACATCCTGGCAAAAACAAAACCATTAGATGGATCACACACACACACACACACACACACACACACACACACACACACACACACAACCCTACACACCATACAAAGTGTATATATATATATATATATATATATACTATTTCATTGTCATAAAACAATATATATGTATGGAAAAAGAATATGTATACGCATACAAGCAAAAACACGCACAAACAAAATGCACAAAAATGGAGATAGGTTAAAAAAGATAGTGAGGTCATAAAAAGAAAGGAACAATTACCTCCTTCCTTTCCCCTTTCTCTGACCTTAAGCAGAGAGACATTTTCTCTACCCGTTCAAGAAGAATTTGTATTGCTGCCACACACAAAAGACAATGGTTAAATATAAGAAAACATAAGGAACAAATTAATTCCTTTAAATAATATGTGGAAATAACTATTCTTCGTCTGATGAAGACCACAAGAGCCGAAACACCTGTAGGAAAAATATGGAAGATAAAGTATGATATATATTTTTTTAAAAATGCACATTATAACCAAAAATGTTTGCGGCTTCTCTTTTCTCTCGTTGGAACAACTATAATCCCTTCCACAGGGTCCGATGGCTAAATTATCGCCATTTTATGCATTCTTTTTGCGCATGCGCGTTGTCGGTTTTTTTTATTTTGTCGACTGGACAGTGTTGTAGGGTCAGTTGGCAACCGTCTAGGAAAAAAAGGGCTCCATGACGTAATTCACTTAGCCGGAAATCTAAAAACGGCATGCTGTATTGTTTGGAATTCGCGCCGGAAGCTCCAATACGAACATTTCAGACTGAATGTCAATCTGAGGACAATGAAGATTCAGAAAGAGTTGAATGAGTCAAATGGTGATTACCAAAGTGTTTGGAGTTATTTCTATGCCTCCATCCATCTTCCCACAGGGCCTCAGACTCAACACGGAGGCCTACATCAATTGCCTTAAGGAGGTAGTGCTACCCTGTGTCAAGAGGGTGGCTGCTTTAGATCTGGCCACCTAATTCCCCAGACTCTAACCTCCTTGATTATTATGTGTGGGGCTCAGTTGAGCGAGAGACCAACAAAACTCATTTTAACAACAAAGATGAACTGAAGGCAAGGATTATGGCAGTTTTAAGTCTACTCGTGACCGGATATGATAACTTTATGAACTCTTTCCATCCCAATTTGAACACTTTCACATTTTTGATTGCTACTGATTCATGCTTTCTTGATGGCATCTTTGCAAGTGACTCTTTAGTCCTTACAGTGAGTTGCACCTGAGGTCACAATTAGTGCATTAACCGATTTCTAACAGTTGGTTGGTCGGGATGCTTCGACTTAAAATGCGTTCTTAAACCGCTAGCATTACTGAAAATCCTTCCACAGACTGTACAGATGAAGTTCTCGAGAAAAGCCACAGAATCAGGCAACCGGTGAGAATTAGAATGGCTAGTCAAACCTGTCTTAGATTTGTATATACAATCACAAATGTTACATGCAAGATTATCTTTAGAACCTTTCTGTGGAAGGGGTGTGACAACCACGCCATATTTGGCCGCACGGTTAAATGTGGTATAATCACACCGTCTCTCATCAAAACCTTTTACAGCCTGCATTACTTCATCTCTCCAAAGCTCTCTATCCTTCGTTTTCTCTTCCTATGTCTGAAGATCAATGTCGGCTTTCTTGAGAGAGTCTTTTACACAATCTTTATGCCGCTTACGGAGCTTACCAACTGGTCTCTTGTCATCTCTTAGCTCGCCAAATATGACCTGCTTAGGCATCCTGTCATCCTCAAGTCGAACCACATTTTCGCACCATCAGGGGCAGTATTTCAGGATTATGGATTCAATGCTGGGAATGCCGAACTTTTGAAAGACACCTGTGTCTGAGGTATAAGACGACCACGGGATTTTCATTAATGACCGCAAACATTTTTGATGGAAGTGTTCCAGACATTTAATATATCTTCTATAAGTTGTCCGGGTGTCGTAGCCAACACACATGTTTGATACACACTAATCTTTTGGTGATATATATATATATATATATATATATATATATATATATATATATATATATATATATATATGCATGGGTTGTTTTCGCAAACGAATGTTTAGGAGAATTTACCACTTAAATTGCATATCCACTATTTACATTATTCGGACTGCCTTAACCGGATATTGAACTCACACTCTTTTGGTCCTGTCACTCCAGCTAACCAACGCCTTTATCCACTGTGCCATGTGTCCTTGAGGCAGTTAAGGCAGTGGAGAACTTTCAGAGGGGAATTAACAGGAGATAACTGATAACTGACATCCATCAAACATAGAACGTGGAACTAGAACAGTCTACCCTAGTGAGCGAAATAAAGGATTCAGTTCTACATTCCAACCAGGCCGGAGCGTACAACGACCGAAAAGTTGTAATAAATATGGCGACAAAGATGAGGACAATAGTCCGAATAATGTAAATAATGTACATAATACCTCATCTCAGAAATATAGACAGATACTGCATATCCACTGTTTATCAGCGGAACTCACGCAGGGAGAGCCAGGTGGCTCACTTTGGCTGCAGGAAAAGGTCTGGCAGTCGGATGGAGTCAACGGTACAATCTGTTTTCTTTTGCTCTTTCTACATGTTTTGCTTCAGAAAGAGAAATTGTCTGGTAACATATGTATCGCCATCTCTCTTTCTCGGCTGCCTCTGTTGTTCACTGTGGGTATTTGCTTCTGTATGCCACGAATGTCTTTTTAAGAAGCCCTTGTATCTCTTCAGTGTGGATTTCTTTCTTTCTTGATCGCAGTCCTGTTCTCTGAACAGGAGGGTCTTTGGAAGATGACAGCTATTCATCTATGTTATGTCCTGCCCACTGCAGGTTAGTATTGTACTGTACATATGATTGGCACTAAATACTAAATATAAATACAGAATGTCATAATTTAACTTTTTATTTATTTATTTTTTAATTTTAAATAATTGGTTGATATTTTTAAATAGTTTACACAATGTTCAAAAGCACAATAGGGAATTCAATACTGTCCACTATATTAATAGCAATTGTTTGTGTTCACTTGTTGATTGTTTGAATCGGCTAATAATTGCTTCTCCATTCAATTCATTTAACAATTCCTTTTCAGTAGATAGCAAAATGTATGATTCCAAATTCTCTTCAGACAGCAAATTTCTTAACCTTATCATTATGATCTTTGGTTTTGAAAATGTTCTCTCACGTTGAACATGATCAGTTGATAGTGTGATTTTACAAAGTACATATTCCTTTTTATTCCTAAAACAGTTGCCTGTGTTCGTTTTCTTATTGTATTTTTATTTGATATAGGGGGACTACTTCTTCAGGGTCCCACTTCCCTCTAGGCAAGCTGACACTGTGCCCAGCCTGTCAATGTCCAAAAATGACTCCATATAAAAGTGAACAAGGCTTTATAAGCACAGGATTTTGAATCTTTCCTAAGGTTTTTGTTTTCCCAGATATGTTGTGTAGTTGAACAAAAGTTCAGGTTTATTTAATAAGTCTTTCGTTACAGAGGGAAAAATACATTTTCATAATGGCATACAATTAATGAAAGATATGCCTCAATAACTAAAATTCTTTGAAACATTTTAAAGACACTATAATTTTTTGAAAGATACTGTATATAATTTTAAATTTTTAATTTTTTTCCAGGCGCACGTGGAAGACGATCGCTGGAACCTTGGCTCGAAGGCATCCCCAACGAAGTGTGCCGCAGGCGTCTGATTGATAGTTGTGAATGGCCTCAGTGTAATTCATCCTGTCCTAAACTGGTCAATCCATTGACTGGCGTCGAAGTGGACGTTGTTGACCTACTAGTTCAACTTGGCATCGATCCAACGACATTTGCCAACACTCTAGGAATTGACATCCATAAACTTCACACAATGAGTCATGACAAGTTGATTCAAAAACTCGCTCAGTGACCTCCGACCTCAAATCCCCACCACCACCACCACCACCACAAACATTACCACTAAACATCGCTACCATCGCGACCATTTTGGCAAATAATTGAGATCTCCTCATGTTTTTCAGTTTCTTTTCATGTCTGTATGCTCTCTCTAAGCCTCTGTCTATCCAAATGTAGACTGGTCCACTTGTTTAAAAAATAGAGACCAATTGGAACTACTTAAATACAATGGCCCGCTCGTAAAAAAAAAAAGAAAACTGGTATTACTTACATAGAATGGATCACTCGTAAAAGAAAAAAATAAAAAAATTGGTACTACTTAAATATAATAGTCATGTGTAAAAAATAGAGAAAAATTGGTATGATTTAAACATAATGGTTCCCTCTTTAAAAAAAAAAGTCGGTACTAATTAAATTAAATATCCACACGTAAAAATATAGATGTGCACTACTTAAATGGACCTGAAAAAATAGAGAAATCTGGCACTACTTAAATACAACGGTCAACTAGTAAAAGAAAGAGAAAAATTGATAACTACTTACATAGAATGGTTCGCTCGTAAAAAAAAAAAGAGAGAAAAAGTGGAACTACTTAAATATAATGGTCCACTTGTAAAAAAAAATATTGAAAAATTAGCACTACATAAATAGAATGGTCCACGCGTAAAAAGAGAGGAAAATGCTACTACTTAAATACAATGGTCCACGCGTAAAAAAATAGAGAGAAAACTAGCACTATTTAAATAAAATGGTCCACTCATAAAAAATAGTGGAAAAATTTGGGGGAGAAATAATTTTGTGATTAGCATTCATTATACCTTCCTCAAGGTGCGACATTTGTCAAAATAAAAAAAAATATATTAAGCTTTATCCTTTTAGATGGATTGATTGGAGGGCATTCATAATATCGATATAGTGTAAAATCGATCCCTGATTTTTTACAGAGTTATCAATACTTTTCATTTACAAATGTCAAGTTTGCTTACGTTTTTGATATAAATATATGAAAACACTTTTTTACAAAAAAAATCTTTTAAAAAACAAACAGAGATATACATTTTATGAGTTTTATTTTAATATTTGAAACAAGAAATAGCAATTGTTTGTTCTGGCGAAATAGGATTTGTTTTACATTTTTTACAAAAAGATTTTCTTGTCATTAAAGAACAGATATTCACATTTTTAATTAAAGAACAATTTAATATAATTATTTTAAAGTAATTTTTATCAGCTGAAACTTATTTTTACATTTTTTACAGTAGGATTTCTTTCAATTAAAGAACCATCGAATTTTATAGATTTTTTATTAAAGGACAAAACTTAATATAAATTAATAAAATTATAGAAAATATGCAAATATTAATTATATAAGCAATATCAAACTTGGCATTTGTAAATAAAATGAGAAACTAAATGAAGGTGACTCTGTTAGACGTCGATTTGATACTGTATCGATATTACGTATGTTTTTTAAAAATATCTTTTACAATTTGCTGTTATTCCTGTCCCATAATGTTTATTACACTTGGATGTGCGTTTCATACATTAAATGTATTAATTATTATGGGATTGACGTAGCATTGTTTTTTAAACGTATTTAAGAAATGTGTGCTTAAAAAGAATCTTTTAATAGATTTTATCTACAAATTCACAAAAGATGACGTTTATCAATATAAACGAATAGTTTACTAAAAATAATTCTGGTAATATATTTATATATATTCTAAAAAAAGAACAAATATTAATGCAATATTCACTCACAAAAAAGAAAATTATCCTCAAAATCTAAAATATCTTTCGACTTTAAATAACACGCAAAGGCTTTTGTTAAAAACCGTTTAAAAACAAATATATCTTGCTATATTTTGTCTTGAGTGTTTTTCGCAGTTTTTGTAGGTTAAAAAATGGGGAAAATGTTAGGCTTCGGGTTTTTGAAAATTCGAATTAAAAGTAAAATATTAAAGAAAATTATTTTATAACTTTCAAAAATTCAAATACACAAAAATAGGTTTCATTTTATTTTCAGTAAATAAATAAAAGTGTAATTCACACAAATATTGTAACTAAAAGCATTAACTCTTTTTGTCGTTAGTTGACAGAGATATTCAGAAAGCTACTTGACTAATGATGAAAATTTGGCCTACCACTTGCTAAATATCTAAAAAAAATCACTTCACCCTTATCGCCTTAGTGTGAAATGATTAAAACAAAAAGCCAATAAAACGCAAAAGGTTACTGAAAATGAAAGGTACCGTGAATATGTTATTAGGTAAAAAAGAACAGGATTCAAAAAGATAGAAGATGACGATTAATGTTGCATTTAAATTTTTAAAGATCGTAGCTGACAGGAAAGTAAGAAGCCGGAAGAGAGTTCCATACACGAGAGAAGAAGCTATTAGAATAGAACTTAGGGTTACAATTAGCAATTTCAATAATAAAATGCTGAAACCTAACTGCCAATCTCGTGCTACGCATTTAAGAAGAAAAAACATTTTAGCGGGTTTCTAAATAACCCATGGTACTAACAGGGGGCATCTACTTTTAGATGTCTACTATAAAGTTTAAACATGAAAGACTGGCGAGTTGAATAATAAACTGAGACAGATGCACATTTAAAGGTTAACCAATTGACAGTATAATAATTCGCTTCAAAATTACAGAAAGTTGCTTTAAAGATATTAAAATAACTCTTTTCGGCTCCAAAGATTCGCTGATGTAATTTTTGGATCCATAGAAATCAACAGCTGAGGTTCTTTTTAAAATGGCCGGGCGCTTGTAGAAGTCTTTTGTCGGTCGAATAACAAATTAAACCCTTATGAAAACTAAGCTATCCAACATATCAATCATTTCATCAAATAAAAGCAAGTTGTGGTGGATATTTATAAAAACAGGCGGAGCTAGGAATATGTGTTTTAGCAGAACTTTCGTACAGGATCCTTTCGGCGCGATGCTGTCAAAGTCTTTATTTATTTTGTATATTTTTTCCAATAATTTCTCTTCTAACTTATCAGACATTAATTGTAACAGAACACAGCTGAAACAGAGCACCACCCACACACTATGCATCTTTGTATGGATGTGTCTTTCGAACTCCGAAATAATAGCACAGCTGGTTACAGAGATTTTTCAGGACGACCGTGACAGTTTAACACTGTAATACTGTCCATATTTTATTCATTGCATGAGTAGCAGTCTTTGACGTTGTAATCCTTCCCAATTTTATCCCGAGAACGTAATCAAAATTTCACTGCAACAATGCAGGGTTGAAACAGTGCACCACAGAAGCGATACGCATTTGTGACATCTGTGTGACTCTATGCACAAACACGTGCCACGCTACAGAAATGAAATCCTGAGTCGCTCCTTTGGTGACGGTGAGCGAAAGAATGTTACATTGCAACGACGGAACAATCGTGTCTCGCATGTAACTTGATTCACATCAGTAATTATTATTTTACCTCAATGCTCTCACACCAAGAAAAAACGAAAGAAAAAGAAAAAAAAGATTAAAAAAAAAAAAAAACGAAAGGAAGAAGAAACCAGAAGAACGATGGAGACTTTTTAAATTTCGAATATTTGTAATTGTATTGATAATTGTAAATATATTAGCAATGTCTTAACATTTTCATATTTATCATTGTTGCTCATTACTTGTCTTTGTTTCGTTCATTACAATATTACGTGTTACTTTTTAATTCTTTTATTACGATAACATTTAATGTTTCCTTTTCCTCATATTATTACAATATTTCGTGTTTTCTTTTCCTACGTTTATTACGATAATATTTCGATATTATTATTACGATATTTCGTGTTTCTTCCCACTTTTTATTCCGATAATTTTCGTGTTTTTTCT